TAATGTGAATTAATATGAATACGAGTCATCATCATAGGTATTAAAATTGTTATCATGGATATCAAGTAGATAACTTGCCAAAATAAGATGTTCAAGGCTAATGATGATCCAATATTTTTCTAATACAGTACTGCCATGCTTTATATTCTTACTGAGGACCTAGTTTCAGTTTTTTTATAGCTCTTTTATTTGAACATAAATTTCATATCATGAACTTTGACACACCATTTATACGGGATTTTTAAGATATTTTGATAGGAACCCACTCCAATAACTCAACAATTGGGCTAAACCATGGGTGATGGGTCTTTCATAGGCTTGGGTAGAACTCTCTTTGGAAAACCGGCTTGCTAAAGGAAGGTGCCCAAGCCCTTTATAACCCACATCCCCACCTTTTTCACTTCCAATGTAGGATCTTAACATTCCACCACGCTTCTGCAACTAACGTTCATGTCGACCTCTTTACCCCTCAGGTGATTACGCAGATCTCTTTCCCTCGAGTCTCCATGCCCTTTCTCGGGGTAGCAGCTTGAGCCCAAGGTCAGCCTGCCACGTAGGCGCAGGATCATGCTCTGATACCAATTGATAGGAACCCATTTCAATAACTCAACAATTGGGTTATGTCATGGGCCTTTTATGAGCTTGGGTAAAACTCTCCTTGGAAATCGACTTGCCAAGGGAGGGTGTCCAAGCCCTTATAACCCACATGCCACCCATTTCCTTTCCAATGTGGGATCCTAATCCTAACATTTCACTACACTTCCACAACCGACATCCACGTCAGCCTCTTTACCCCTTGGATGACTATGCAGATCCCCTTTCCCTCGGGCCTCCATGCCCTTTCTCGATAGCAGTCTGGGCCTAAGGTTAGCCTGCCACGTGGGCGCAGGATCATGCTCTGATACCAATTGATAAGAACCCACTCCAATAACTCAACAATTGGGTTAGGCCATGGGTTTTTCATGGGCTTAGGTAGAACTCTCCTTGGAAAACTAGCTTACCAAGGGAGGGTGCCCAAGCTCTTTATAACCCACATGGCCACCCTTTTCCTTTCCAATATAGGATCTTAACACAATTCTTGTATGAGAATTTATTATTAATGTTGTGTTATGCAATTTGGTAATGCCTTTTCTCGAATAAAAGCAAAATGTTTAAGTTGGCTTTGTGTTGCAGGCAACAAGTGCTGGACTGAAAGAACAAGAGGCAATCAATTTCTTGGAGAAGAAAATGAAAAATGATCCTGCTTTTTCTTATGACGAAACAGTGCGGGTACATGTCTTATCTTGTCAATGTGTGTGCAGAATGCAGATGTTAGTGCTGAAAAAGCATTGCATGATTCCTGTCAAATTTGAGATAAAGTAAGAAAAGAGAGGGTTGGAAAGGGAAAGGGAAGTGATTCCTTTGCATCCTTGGAATATTGGCATTGGCCTCATGTTAATTCTTATATTTTAGAACAAACTCAATAAAAATTCTTTAAAAATGAAAAAGAAAAAGTAATAAGTAGTACTTATCTTGTGATCCAGTATTCTTACTGATAGATGCTTTGTGGTGCTTGTCAATCAGTAAGTTCTTTCTATTTCCTTTTTGGGTTTAGTTTTGGGAGGCAGTTAAAGAAGGTTGAATATGAGGACAGAAGGATTGCAAATTTCACCTATGTTAATTGAAATATGCATCCAGGTTTACAGCTTTAATGGGAGTTAATAAGATTATTTTAATGCAACCTTGTAGTCAAATCTAAATATGACTGGTGTAACAACTACCTGTTCACGGGTTTTAATTTGTTTGCCATAGAACTTTTATTATCTTAGGGAGTAGGGACATAAGTAGGAATGAAAATTCTTATTATTCGATTCTATTTTCTGACAATTTGAAGCGGATGGTATTAAATGGATTCTGATGGGTTTTGTGCTTCTATAGAGCTGAAAATGTTAGCTTTATGATTATTTTAAGGGCCTAATGTTGCAAATTTCTACTATTATGCAGACTGCTATCTCTGCTCTGCAATCTGTTCTCCAAGAAGATTTCAAGGCTACTGAGATTGAGGTATGGATAATTCCCTTTTGTCATCTCTACAGTTAGTAATAAATAGGATGGATTAATATGCCATGTTGGTCCTTAAATTGTTCAGATTGGTGATCTTTTTGTTCAATTAATTAGTTGCATGATGAAATGGTTTTCAGTAGTTGTTGATGTGAACTTTTTATTTTACGGCAGGTCGGAGTTGTGAGATCAGATGATCGAGTTTTCCAAGCATTGTCAACTGAAGAAATTGATGAACACTTGACTGCCATTAGTGAGCGTGACTAATTAAAATGCGATAGATGCTTCTCAAAGAAAATTTCTGCTAGCATTTGACTTTATCGACTTGTGCTGTAGTTGTTCTTGGTGATTGGGAGAGAGAGCCAGAGATCTGTTAGTGGTTGAAGTTGTGTTGGTTCAGACTAATGTTATCTCATGTTACAATATTGAACTTTGAAATTATTTAGTCATGCTACAACAGTTACAGGTTCCCATGGTTGTATTTGTTTATTTTGCAAGAGCTATCATATGCTGAACAAATCTTGGGTGCTACTTTTAGCAAGAAGCATATCTAGAACGAAATGTGGGATGTTTATCATGTCATTATGACTGACCCACTGTGCTAATCTGATTTGTTGTCTCTGTCGATTCAAATAGCGTGTTTCTTGTTTTTTCCCTCTTCTTGGAGCTTAATAATTCAGTACGATGGTTGCTTCTCTTGCTGTCTGGTTAATAATTCAGTACTGGAGTGGAGGCCAAAGAGTACTTCATATTAATCACCATACTAGTGGTCTACTTCTATTTATTCAATATGGATATGGCTTTGAAGCCTTACAAACTATATAAAATAACAAACAACATTAAGAGGCAAATTTTTTCTTCGTTTATGTTTTTGGCACAACACATTTTACAAACTATATGAAATAAAAACTTTGAGAGGCAGATTATGTCTTTGTTTATGTTTGTGATATATCATATTTTCTTAACACGCCTCCCTACTTGCTCGACAACAACGACAATGACGATGCCTCCCTCCTTGCTTGACGACGACGAAGCCGCCTCCCTCCTTGCTCGAAGATGATGATGACACCTCCCTCTCTCGCTGGAAATCGACGACGACGACAATTGAAGGTTATTTGATTCTCTTTTTCTAGATTCAGAAGTATTGTTTTGATTATTTGATTGGAAGTTTTGTTTTGATTATAATGCTTGGTTTATCTAATTTGGAAGTTGATTTTTTCTTTTTTTGGCATAATCCTCTAGATTTGGAAGTTTTGTTTTGATTATTTGATTGGAAGTTATAGAATTATTTTACTCGAATCTAGAAGATAATTTGAAGGTACTTAGATTATTTGTGTTTTCTCCCTCTGGTTGAATAACCAAGATTTGCCTAAACCTAAGAATAAAGAGACATAATGCTTAAATTAAAAGTTAAGGTGCCTTGTGGAATAGCATTCTGTTTCCGCATTTCAAGCATGTTGTATTCTACAAAAGTTTTCGTCAATCATAAATTTTTGGTGGAGCTATAACATATTATATTGTATGTTGGGACTCTTGTTAAATCATGTTTGGATTGCTATTGAATTTGAATTATGTTGGTGTTGTAATTAAACTGTTATTGAAAATTTGAAACTTGTTCAAAAATGAAAAATGTGGATATTTTTTTTTTGAAGTGTTGACATCATCATGCTAACGTTAGCATGATGACATCATCGGTCCAACCAACCGGTCCGATCGGTTGGACCGATCAACCCGTGACCCAAGCAACGGAACAGGTTATCTGCCAGTCCGAGTTTTAAAACAAAAGATAAACCACAAATGTAATAGGTGACCTCAAAGTGGTTTCAACCTTAAACCTTCTTGACTATCAAATCAATCCCTCATGATTATATATTTCTAATTTTAATGATCACTCGCTTGTTCATATATCATTTTCTGAAGCCACTGAGATCAATGACAATCATATATAAAGTTTGTATTATACATTTTTGTTTTATAAATTAAATCTAAGTCAATATTCCAACCTATCAATGATCGTGATCCATCTCCTGAAAGCATTATATTTGGTCCGGACTCTTACCTTATTTGGGACCCTTTGAAGTGTGATGCTAGAACAGTTACGCCATCCTCATTAACCTTAAGCAAACCCTGAAATAAATAATTAAAATTCTTTGAATTTGCACATGGGGGCTTCGTCAGCATGGACCTAGCATAATTTTAGATCCTTGATGCATTAAATTTCATATTTCTCGAAAGTATAATGAGTGGCAAGCTTGAGAAAGGACCTCACCTTTTCAGCATCGCATACAATAAGGTCATTTTCCTTCGTTATTGTGATTCCAACTAAATAATTTAGAGTCTTATCTTCTTCCAGTCTTGCTATGTTCCATTTTTTAGCATTCTTTTCATCCAACCATCTCCGGTTGCTGTATATAATACACCCTTTGCATCCACCCAAAGTACATCTTCTGGATTTTTCAATAAACCCTCTCCAAGTTTAACCACACGCTACAATTAATAGCAACACCATAGCACCATAAGTCTATTAGTATTAATAAATAAACACAAGGTTAAAATTTTTATGTGCATGCAGCTCTTTACGTGGAGAGATGAGAAGCTGGGGGAAGTTCAAGCAAGTCAGGAGATATTGGTGAGAAGAAGAAGATTTGGAGTACAAAAGCAATAAACAAGCTAGTACAAAGCTGGCACGCAGCGTTTTGATGTCCTAGCGAAGGTTACTGGATAAATTTTTGGAGCCATAAGCCTGGAATCAGATTCACAGTTATGTGTGTGGTGGGGAAATAATCGATAGATAGGATAATCTTGTGAAGAAAATAAATTATGGATAATCATGGGTTTCCTATCCGTGGAAAGCTGTATAAGTTATAAATCTAAAGTCTAGACAAAGTTATAGATCAGATGTCAGTATTATGAGCACTGACAACAACCCATTATCGAAATAAATTTTCAGTAACCTTGTTTATTGCTCTAACTTTCTATTAATAAAAAAGCGTATAACCAGAGGTCTAGTTATGTCTTATTCAAAATTTGATTGATCATTGAAGTTGAAGCCTTACAAACTATATAAAATAAAAACATTGAAGTGCAGATTGTTTCTTTATTTATGTCTGTGGTACAACATATTTTTCCTTTCAGACTCCAACTTTAACAATTACGCTGTTTTCAGCGGCAATTTCCCAATGAAGTTGGAGTTAAGGCTACCCAAGTAGAGATGATCTTCAAACTCCAGAGCGTTAGTCACAAAGTTCATCACCTTTCCATTAGGATCGTCCAACTTCCTGATTATCTTGCCATCCGTTGCCACATTCACAACCGATGCTTTCTTGTATATGGGGTTGATCAGTCTGAACAGTTTCGGAAATGCTGCTAGGAAATGTTTGCATGCCTTAGAAGTGTGCACAAATTCCAGCCTCTTAGAACGCAACTGTACCATTGAACTTATGTTTAGAATAGCTGCAATAGAACACTAACCAAAGATCTTGAGCATCATGCTCCACTGAATTGAAATTTGATTGATATTCAGATTGAGATACCTGAAGCAAAGCGATCCAGAAAGAGCCATCTGGGGCAAGATTAATGTTATCAGGTCCACCTGGAAGGTTTTCAATGAAAGTTTCAGTCTCTCCTTTCGTCTCGCCCTTGAGCCAATACTTGCAGCACCTGAATCTGATCCCACCGAAAGAGGATTAACATGTTGAGAAATTCAAGTAACAATCTAACATCTATTTGGCAATTTTATTTTATTTATTTTTTCACCAAAAAAATAAAACACTTACTTCCATGTTTCACAAAACACCAAATAGTCTTCATCTTTTGAGAGTGCTACCCCATTAGTAAAGCCTAAACCATCAAGCAACATTGATGTCTTATTCAATACCGGGTCATACTTGAGCAGTTGACCGTGAGGTTTTGCCTCAAGCACGTCGAGATGCCAGTCATGGAGTCCAAATTTGGTGCTCGCTACACTAAAATATAAACTGCCATCTGATGCCGCAATCACTTCATCCGCAAACCTGGTTAGATTATCCATAATATAAGTAAATGTTCTTATTAAAATACACAGTTAAGTACAATCTTACAGTAAACAGTAAAAACCCAAATTCTTGAATATACGAACATTTATATAAGATTTTCTGTGTTTATTATTTTCAATAATAAAAAACAGAGAATGATATCTCTTTTAACTTTTCCATCACGACAAACAACAGTTTGCACTCCATTGGGTATTGAGAGGTTGATGTGATTAATGCAATAGAGTGCTCTTGAGGGACTACCAAATTCCGAAGAAATAAAAATCAAATATTTATGATGTCCTTTCAAATCCAAAAAAGAAAAAAGCGTTAGATTACAAGTAAAAGTCGTCCATTCACTTTCGTAAACTACGAAACTAATTACTCTCAAAAAGAAAAAGAAAGATTCCCTTACAATAGCTATGGATTTAGTCTCCCCATTTGGTGCTAAATCCATCTCCATGCTGATAAGCCAAGAAGATCCCAAAGAGTGCCCATGAAAAACCCAAAGTATTTTGACTAAGAGCTGTCATGCATGGAAGATTCTTGTTGCCAAATATTTGGTCTAAGTTGTTGATCATGTCCACAAGTTTGCTTGCTTAAGAATAGGTCAAGTAATTATTATTTACTTTTGAATAATTTTCGGCTGCTTTGTTGTCATTACCTGTTAGTGTCTTATTTCTTAGAGATGTGATCTAAGAATTAAGAATAGTTGTTAATTTCCTTTTGTATTTAAACTCTTCTATAGTCATCAATAAAGGAAGCTAATTCTAATTAAATTTCTTGTGGTCTATTCTCACACTAAGTAGAATACTATCTTCACTAAACAATTTTCTTATAGCTTAGATTGGGACCTATCACATGCCAAGACAGACCCAACAAAGTTTCTGTGTCGCATAAGAAGAAATGGCATATCTTGCACATGCCTCATATTTTTAATGATCAAGGCCCAAGCACGGTTGTTCATAGGTCATTTTCTGAAGCCACTGGCCATAATGGCATCAAGATGTGCTATCACTAGCGGGTAGCGACTTATTCCAAAATTGTTTCATACGGGTTCATTAACTTGTCCCTCACCATTTGCAAGGTAAATTTCATACATAAAAAAGGGGTCGAAAAACAATACTAGATCTATAACAATCATGTTTTCGATTAACATTCCTACTTATCAATGATCCATCTCTCTGAAAAGCATTATTTTTGGTTACGACTCTTACCTTATTTGGGACCCGTTGAAGTGTGATGCTAGAACAGTTACGCCGTCTTCATTAACCTTAAGCAAACCCTGAAGAATTTGCACATGGGGCATTCGTCAGCATGGAGGCAGCATAATTTGAGATCCTTGATGCATTTCATATTTCAGGGAAGTATAATGAGTGGCAAGATCCAGAGTTGTCTCACCTTTTCAGCATCGCATACTACAATAAGGTCATTTTCCTTCGTTGCTGTGATTCCAAGTAAAGCATCACTGTCTATCTTCTTCCAGTCTTGCCACGTTCCATTTTTCTGCAATCTTTTAATCCAACCATCTCTAGTTGCTGTATATAGTACACCCTTTGCATCCACACAAACATCTTCTGGGTCTTTCAATACTCCCTCTCCAAGTTTAATCACACTCTACAGCACCCGAACGCCAAGTCTATTAGTATTAATGAAGTAAACACAATAAGGTTCAAACTTTCATGTGCATGTAGCTCTTTACCTGTAAATAGCTATTCGTAGGGAGATGAGATACTGGGAGAAGTTCAAGCAAGTCAGGAGATATTGGCGAGAAGAAGAAGATTTGGAGTGCAAAAGCAAGTAAACAAGCTAGTAGAAAGCCTGAACATAATGGTACGCAGCGTTTTGATGTGTTAGCGCAGGTCACTGGATCAATTTTTGGAGCCATAAGCTTGGGATAAGGTTCAGTTAGTCATGTGTGGTGAGGAAAAATTGAAAATACAAGATAATCTTATTGTGAAGGAAATAAATTTATGGAAAATCAAGGGTTTCCTGTTTGCAGAAAGTTGCATATATAAGTCTAAACAAAGTTGCAGATGTCAGGGTTATGAATACTGACAACACCGATCATTGAAGTTAACGTTGCAAAATTCGATCACTTTGATTGGTTGAAGAAGATAAATCTTTGCTGTCATTTAACCAAAACTTGCATTTCAATAATTCTGCATCTTAATCGCTCAATGAACACTCTAAATCGTTTTGTTGTCATCGTCATATTACTAGGTTGAAGTAACAGATAACATTACTTACTTTTTCAATAACCCTGTTTATAAAGATGATCATTTAATGAAACATTGAATTGTTATATATAAAAGCAGATTCCAAATGAATTTCTAGAATTAGTGTTAAGTAACCTTAATCTGGTAGACATAAAAGACATTAAACTTTTGATTATTCCAAGAGTGGTGTTATTTATGCTACACATTGAGAGACGAACAAGAAGAGATGCATCATTTTCTACGCCACCAGAAAGATGCACGTAATCTAGAAGACAAAAGCACAGGGAAGATTAAAAATAAGGAAAATGATAGAGTCACCGAAGGTTGTGCACCGAATCTGTGTATCGAATGACGTGATAAAATCTTGACCGTTTATTGATATTAACTGATAATAAATCAATGGTCAGGATTTTGTCACGTCATTCGGTGCACAGATTCGGTGACTGTAGCATTACTCTAAAAATAATAATAGAATNTATATTACAATTTTATTGTATTAAAATTGAATTAATATTTGAAATGTTAACAAAAAAAAAAAATTAATTTAATTGAATATTGATATTTGAAAATTTAACTAAAAACAATTACATTTATAATTTATTCATTTATAAATTGTTAATTATTTATTAGAAAAGTTAAATAAATAAAACAAAACAAAATCAAAAATAAAAAAGAGGGTTAACCCGGCTCGGCTCGCAGCCTAACCCGACAGGTTAGGGTTGGCGAGCCGGGTTGGGCCAGCCATTTCTCCAAAAATTGTTGGCGGGTGGGTTAGGACCGACCCGCCAAAAGTTGTAACCCGCCGCGGGCCGGGCGAGTTACTTTTCCAGCTTTATGGGGATCCAAAGGCTTCTTGCAAAGATCTTCTATAAAATACTAAAATCGAATATTAAAGACATATCTACAAAAATAAAATATCAATTATATAAAGTAATGATCCTAAAAATATAATTAGACCATATAATATTCAAGTAATTTTCTCAAATTTGATGAATGATTTAATAACATCTACCTATAATTAATATTAATAATTATAAAGATACAATTATTAATTTTATCTTAACATAATATATATATATAATTTATATTTACTTTCAAATTATTATAATTTAATACTTATTATGTCTTAATTTAATTAGTTTATTTTGTTAGAATAAATTTGTTTACAATCTATTTCAAAAACATTGAATAAACATATCTGCATAACGTGCGGGCTTTATGTCTAGTTGATATAATAATGCAGTATGCTTGCTATATAATTTTTTTTAATTACTTAATTAATTTTTAATTTAAAGTCATTCTAAAATAGTGAATTAAGCATATTGAAGGGAAAACTGGAGAATAGAAAGACACCGAATACTGGTGCTGAAATTTTGCACCGATCTATGTGGCATCTAACTCGGACGTGCCACGTAGGACACAACACAGGTATTCAGTGAATGAACAATCGTCCAACAATTATAGACACCCGTTCATATCTTATGGACGATCGTTCATCACGAATAGATGAGAGCCCATAAAATATCAATAGACTGTCGTTCATATATTATGGACAACAGTCCCTTTACTATAGACGGCCATCCATATTATATGGACAACCATCCATATAATTTTAGATGAAATATTCATTTTTAAAACATAAAATTTTTAGATGAACTAAAAGAAAAAAAAAAAAAAAAAAAAAACTTTGATTTTAAGTAAAAGTATGGATGCTAGTCCATCTAATGAGAATGGTTGTCCATACACAATGGACGACCATCCAAATGAGTGGACTGGCGTCCATTCTCAAATAATTTTTTTTTTTTTAATTTTCAATTTTTTTTTTTTCATTTATAAACAAAATGCAAAGCAAGAGAGAAATGAAACCTGTTTTGGGAGGCCTAAATTTTTAAACATTCTAATTGAAAATTTTAAAGAAATTTTTTTATTAAACTAAAATTTGGGTATGGATGGCCATACATCTTACACAAACAGCCATCCATCTTACATGGACAACCACCCATTCTATATGGACGCCCATCCATATAAGATGGATGTTTGTCCATTATTTGTTTTTAAACTTTTCTGGATCCATAGTAAATGGACACTCGTCCATATTATATAGATGAGAATCCATTGATATTGTCGTGGACGATCGTCCATTCGTGATGAACGGTTGTCCATAATGTATGGACGACCGTCCATGTAAGATGGATGGTCATCCATTCATGGAATCGATATTTTCTATCTAATGTGATTGCGTCTTAGTGGATGTCACATCGTTTGGTAAAAAAATTTGATGCACAAATTCGATGTTAGTAGTAGAGGTGGGCATTTGGGACTGGGTCCAAAAATCCGGTCGGGACCAGGCCTAAGGAGGAGGGCCTGGTCCCTCCACTAGGCCCTCCTCCAAGGCTCGGGTCTGGGCCCAAATTTTTCTAAACATTTTCGTTCTAGTCCCTTGTAGAATTACGTAAAACCCCTTATAAATAAATAAACATAAATTATAGGTGTTAAAAGAAAATTTTACAAAATTTATTTAAAAAAAAAAAAATTAATTTTCATATTAATAAATTTATTGGTAGTTTAAATTTAGTACTTAAAACTAATAATAAGTTTATATTCATTTTAATGGTAAAAACCAATGAAATAAAAGATTTTTTTTTTTTAGATTTCACTTATTACACTTACTAATGAAATAAAATCATATTTATTTATCTATTATTCGTTATTGTTATTATCTATTATAACTAGTTTATAATCATTGTATTGAAATCATATTTAAAGATGAGTTCCATGGTATTTAAACATAGTCATGACAAAATTAAGGCATATATGTTAAAAATTAAAGTTTTACGATATTTAAAAATTTTGTCTTCTCAAAAAGGTGTCTATGATTTGTAAAAGCAAGCTTGATAATACTTATAATACAATGTTTATAAGAAATTGAAAAGCATCAATTAATCACCAACGTTTTGAAAAATCTAGTTATCAATCACATTAATTGCTAGATATATAATAAATGCCTCTTTAATCTCCATTTTTTTTTTTTTTTTTTTTGCTATAATCTCATAAAACTTTTGTTAAATATAAATATAATAATGTTTTAAGGGAAATTGTTTTAAAGGTGGAAGAAAAATATGAGAAATATTGGTTAGATATTTTATTCTTATATGGATTAGGCCTTGTTGTAGATCCTAGGTTTAAATTACACGTAGTTAACTATATAATTACTGAGTTAGGCCAGTATTTAGGACATGATTATATGTCTTATTTGACTGACTTTAAACAAAAATTGGATAACCTTTTTTCTTTAGATGAGAATAGGTACAATGGAAGTAAAAGTGGAACGTTCATGAGAGACGATCAGGACCCTAATACAGACCTCCATCAAGGATCGAGCTAGTGGACGTATATGGAACATGGCGGAAGTAGCAGCTCCAGCTCGTACATACATGACCAAATGAGCTGAATCGCTACCTACAAGTGGACATATCCTTTATGACAATGAAAGAGAAACGTGAAATGGATATTCTTCAATGGTGAAACCAACATGAAAGTCGATCCCCTATTGTAGCCCAAATGACATGTGACATTTTATCTGTGCCGGTTTCTACAATTGCATCCGAGTCAACATTTTCAACGAGTGTCTGGATTGTTTAAGACAGAAGATGTTTTTTAACCGATGAGATGATTGAAGTGATAACGTATTTACGGGATTGAACTCATGCAGAAAGAAGACTACAACAGCACCCTGAAGATCCCGAATTACTCGAACTATTTAGGAATACAGATTTGAATGATGTAAATATTATTGACGATGAAAATTAATAATTTAATAAAAAAATATTTAATTGTTTATTTGTGAAGCGTGAATATGTGATTGTGTGAATATTACATTTATGTTAAAATAAACTATTAATTAATTTATTATTTTTTAAAATCAATTAAACTTTTAAAAACTTACTAATCTATTCCTAAAAAATACTAAAAATCTCCTAATAAAATTTTGTTTCGTCCTTAAAATATAAAAAAAAAATCAGGAGAGAAAAATAAATTGTTCAAGCCCATAGGACTGTTTCTGGACTTATAGGACCAATCCTAAATATCGGTCTACGTTCTAAAATTGTTCATGGACCTGGGACCGGTCGCAGGCCTATGAGCGACTGGTCCCAGCCCGGGCTGCTTGGAATTGGTCCTTGACCAGCTAGCATTGCTGAAGCTAAAATGGTGTTGCTGTTGGGTAGCAATCGGCGAAAACACACCGTACAATAAAATCTCCAATTTCTGATTGCAGATTTGATGTAGTGGTACTATGAAAATGACTTGTTTTGTCATAAATCACGTGATCTCTTATAGCTCTCTCTCTCTATTCAATCAATAATTTTTAATTAATAATAATTTTATTTCTAAAATTTATTTTTTAGTTATTACAAAATATGTCAAAGAATTATGACGCCAATAAAATAAAAAACTTTATTAAACAACACAATACTAGAAATAACTTTTAAAAAATATATCATATATTTGTAATACTAGAAATATTTAATATTTAATGATTATATAATAGAGTAAACGACCTTTTCTCACCAAAAATAATAGTTTAATGACATTTTCTCACCCACAAACTTTTAAAATATTATTTTATTATCTAAATTTATATTATATTTTCGATTTCGACATTATTGCAACCACATACCACCATCATTCTCTTTCTGATCATTCAAAAGACTCATAGGTATCATTTTTTAAAAAACTCTAACAATTTGGATCGAGTTTACTCTCTTTTCATCACCGAAATATAAATTTGGATAGTAAAATAGTATTTTAAAAGTTTGTGAGTGAAAAAGTATCATTAAACCATTATTTGGGTGAAAAAAAAAGTCGTTAACTCTATATAATAAAAGAATAAAACTCCTTTTTTTTTAAATGATAATAATTGAAATAAGA